TACCTTTTGTGTTTTCCATTCTGCTAAAATATAAAAAAAATTAGTTTTTGTTTCTTTGGCATCTATGCCTATAAAATACATTATTTAGTTTTGCTTGCTTTAAAAATTTTTTTTTGGCCTCAGGAGAAAGAAATCCATTTTTTATGAGCTTTTTTATTGTGATAGAGTATATATAACAATTTTTCTCTTTTTAACAATTCTAAAGTGTAAAATTCCAGGGCATTAATTACATTTGCAATGTTGTGTAACCATCACCATCATTTCCAAAACTTTTTCATCATTCCAAACAGAAACTCTGTACCTATTAAGCAATAATACCCCTCCCTCCCCTCCCCCAGTCCCTAGTAACCTGTAATTTACTTTGTGTCTATGAATTTGCCTCTCCTAGATATTTCGCAAAAATAGAATCATACAATATTTGTCTTCTAGTGTCTGGTTTCTTTCAGTTAGCATAATATTTTCCAAGTTTATTCATGTTGTAGCAGGTGGCACATTTATAGATGAATAATAGTCCATTGTATATATATGCCACATTTTGTTTATTCATCTGTTGAAGGATACTTGGGTTGTTTCTACCTTTTGGCTATTGTGAATAATGCTGCACTGGACATGGGTGTACAAGTATCTGTTAGAGTCCCTATTTTCAATTAGTTTGGGTATATACCTAGAAGTGGAATTGCTGGGTCATATAACAATTCTATATTTAGCTTTTTAAAAATAAAGATTATTTATTTATTATTCATGAAAGACAGAGAGAGAGAGACAAAGACAGAGGCAGAGGGAGAAGCAGGCTCCATGCAGGGAGCCTAATGTGGGACTCGATCCCAGGACTGAGGTATCATGCCCTGAGCCAAAGGCAGACACTCAACCACTGAGCCACCCAGGCGTCCTTATATTTAGCTTTTTGAGGAACCATCATACTGTCTTCAATAGAGACTATTCCATTTTACATGGTACTATGGGAGTTCCAACTTCTTCATACTCTTGCCAACATCTATTTTATATATGTTTTATTTTAATTTTTAAAAGCAATCTCTATACCCAACATGGGGCTTGAACCCAGAACTCTGAGATCAAGAGCCACATGGTCTACAGACTGAGCCAGCCAGTGCCCCTTATATATATATTTTAAATTATCTATCTATCTATCTATCTATCTATCTATCTATCTATCTATCTATCTATCTATTTTTTTTAGTTGTAGGCTCCTAGTAGGTGTGAGGTGGCATCCTGTGGTTTTTGACTTTGAGCACATCTTCATGTGCTTATTGGCCATTTATATTGTCTTTGGAAAAATGTCTATTCAGATCATTTGCTTGTGTTTTAATTGGATTGTTTGTTGTTTTAGGAGTTCTTTATATATTCTGGATGTTAAGTTGTTATCAGAGATGATTTATAGATATTTTATCCCCTTCATAGATTGTCTTTCACTTTCTTGATATTGTCTTTTGATGTACATTAGTTTTTAATTTTGATGGATCCCAATTTATCTATTTTTTTAAATTTTTATTTATTTATGATAGTCACAGAGAGAGAGAGAGAGAGAGAGAGAGAGGCAGAGACACAGGCAGAAGGAGAAGCAGACTCCATGCAGGGAGCCTGATGTGGGACTCGATCCCGGGTCTCCAGGATCACACCCTGGGCTGAAGGCAGCGCTAAACCGCTGAGCCACCTGGGCTGCCCGTCCTTTTTTTTTTTTTTTTAAAATAATTTATTAGTTTTGGATCACAAAGTACAGGGAAGGCACAAAGGCAGTTCCTGTGACTCCTTGGCGGTTACTTCCCGGACAGTGCATCTGGAACTACCTCTATACACCAGGCTTGGCGCCCATAATCTAACACCATAACAGCTGCAGAGTATAGCACCTGACTGTGGGTGGCAAAGTTTAAATACACCCCATTCACAATGCAGGGCTCCCCTCCATTTTCCAGATCTCTCTTGCAAACTGTGAAATGCCACTAGAACTCTCAGGAATGAACTCTTAGAGTTTTTTTTTTTTTTTTTTAACTTTTTAGAAGAGCTTTTTTAACAGTAGTGACTAAGGCCCTGTGTTCTCAGTGTTATAAGCCCCAGGCTGCCTGGGGCATGGGGACAGCAGTCCCTGGGAGTCCTCCATATCCTAGGCGGCGATGGAGGAAGGGCAGGCCAGGCCAAGCATGAGGAATAAACAATTTTATTGGCCTCAGATCAGGAATCTGTGGGTCTTTTTTTTTTTTTTTTTTTAGGAGTCCATGGGTCTTGAGGACTTCCATGTATTTGTTGATTTTCTTCTCCACCTTCTTTTTGACCCATTTCTGTAGCCTCATGAACTGCTTCTTCTCCGGTAATGGATCTTGGCCTTCTCTGTCCTCTTCTTCTCCAGGGTGGCTGTTACTGCCTGGTACTTCCAGGTACCTTGTGAGCCAGGCACCCCAGGTAAGCAAACTTTCACGTAGGCTTCAGGCGTACCACCTTGGGGGCAGCAGGAACCATCGTCCACTTTTTCTTGTCATAGGGTGGCGGGATCCCACCAAACACCTTGAGGCAGTCCAGGGCAGCCAGGCCTCGCTTGGTCTTGTGGGGCAGCACGCCTCGCACTGTTCCCCAAAAGATGCAGCTGGGTGCTTGGGAGTGGTAGGGGCCACAGGATGGGTTGGTGTTCATCTGTTTGCGGAGGAAGGGGCAGGTCCTGGTGCTCAATGGCCGAGGCATTTCCTGGCCACCTGGTGGCCCCTGTGGCCAAACAGGTGCTTCTGGGCAGGAGGGTTGTAGTTGTGTGCTGTGAGGGCATCAACATTTCTGGCAATTTCTACAGAAACAAGTTGAAGGACCTTCCTTCCTCATTTTCAGCTGTATAATACAGATGGTCCCGGACTGATGATACTTTGACTTAAAAGTCCCCCCCACCCCTTTTTAAAGTGTAGTTGACATACATTATATTAGTTTCAGGTATATAACATAATGATTCCACATTTATATGCAGTATGAAATGCTCATCATAATTGTAGTTACCATCTGTCACCATACAAAGTTATTCCAGTATTATTGAGCATATTCTCTATGCTGTCCATTACGTCCTCATGACTTATTAATTTTATAACTGGAAGTTTGTACCTCTCAATCCCATCACCTATTTCACTCATCTCCTCACTGCTGACTTATGACTTTTTTGACTTTATAATGGTGGGAAGCAATATGCATTCAGTAGAAACTATACTTTGAATTTTGTTTTTTTCCCACACTAGTGATTATGCAGGATTTTCTCTTGTGATGATGGCAGCTGCAGCAAGCCACAGCTCCCAGGCAGCTACGTGATCATGATGGTAAACAATCAACACACTTAATCATTCTTTACCCACATAAGCATTTTGTTTTTTTATTTTCAGTATAGTATTCAATAAATTACATGAGATATTCAGCACATTATAAAATAGACTTCGTGTGAGATAATTTTACCCAACTATAGGCTGATGTAATTGTTCTGAGCACATTTAAGGTAGGCCAGGGTAAACTATGATGTTTGGTAAGTTAGGTGTATTAAATGAATTTTTGACTTACAATATTTTCAACTTAAGCTCATTTATTAGGATGCAGCCCCGTTACAAGCTGAGGAAGATCTGTATTCCATCATACAAAGATATCACATTATTTAGCCATTCCCCTATTAAAAGTTTTTTTTTGAGTGTTGTTGACACATAATGTTAATTTCAGGTGGACAACATAGTGATTCAACATCTCTATACAATATGCAGTGCTCACCACAAGCAGCTACCATGTTACCATATAACATTAGTACATTATCATTGACTATATTCTTTATGCTGTACCTTATATTCCCATGACTTATTCTTTCCATACTGGAAGTTGTATCTCATTCTCCCCCTCACTCATTTTGCCCATCTTCTCCCTCCCCAGCCATAAGTTTGTTCTCAGTATTTATAGGTCTGATTCTGCTTTTGGCTTGTCTGTAGTCTATTGATGGACATCAGCTCCACCATGAATATCCCAAAGTGATTCTTTTGTACATTCTAACTTAAGAACCACTGACCTTTTGTTTAATGAACAAAGCAGGATTTTATTGAGTTGCTATTAAATATCATTTGAATAGTACTTGAGATACAGAAGTGGAGACATTCGACTTAAGTGTACTGATTTTTCCCACCTGCTATTTGGATTAATTACTGGAATATATTTGGGGCACCTGGGTGGTGCAGCTGGTTGAGTGTTCAACTCTTGGTCTTGGTTCAGGTCACGATCTCAGGGTTGTGAGATTGAGCTCCATGATGGGCTCTGCAAACAGTGAAGAGTTTGCTTGAGACTTTCTCTCCCTCTGCCCCACACCCCTTAAATAAATAAATCTTAAAAAAATAATTACTGGATTATAATACCATGAGAACCACTGCCATGGAGTATGGTTTGTGTCAGCCTACATGATAGTTTTAACCATTTTGTGTGATTTCTTGCAAAGAGCTATCACAGAAGATGCAATAAATACATTTTACTGATTTCACGTTGTAGAACTTTTAAGCAATAAGGAGATGTCAACATTGGGTGGGGAAAATGATTGTGAAAAGGAAATGATTTCTTTAGAGAGCCCTGTCTCAGCCAGGTTGTAGAAGCATCTATAATAACGCAAAGGGCAGCTTTGTTTTCAGCACTGAAAACTCTCCAGAACAAAGAGACAGATTGATGCTTCTCCCCCTCCTACACCCCCCCCCCCCGCTGCGTCCTGTACAGTGGCTGATTTCTGGAAACACTTTGGCAGCTACGTGGGGTTATAGCGTGGCCAGGCTTCTTTGGGGTTTGTAAAGAAATACTAGGGGAAACTCAAGTGTGAAGCAAGAGCTCAACACTTAACAGGGATGTTGTTTGTGGCTCTGTTACTGGAAAATGCTATGACCTTATTAACAAGGTCAAAGTTGTGTAGACACAGGAATTACAAAATCAAGAAGGGGGTGGAGTGAGATATTGGAGGCATAAAAGCATCTACAGGTGTCTCCCACAGCACTGCTCTTCCAGAGGCAGACAAACCAAAGATGCGGTGAGTTTTGCTGCTTGTTCATAGATTACTTCTTCCTTCTCTGTCTACATCGTTTACCTACAGGACAGTGCAGGTAGAGGGGAAACCAAAGAAGAGATGCAGAACAAAAACTGAGAAATAGGGCAAATGAGTTAAATCATAATGAATTAAGGGGTTTCATGTGTTAAATCTTCTGCTTTTCTGCATCCATAGAATGTGACTTACTCTAAGAGGTATCTTTTTCCTCAAGGTTACAAATTTTTCATCTTTGCAGGAGATGCCTGCCAGCAGCTCTTATAGTAGGCTTTTTGGCAATCTAAATATGTTTATTAGTAGATTAAAAAAATGTGTACCAGGGATCCCTGGGTGGCGCAGCGGTTTGGCGCCTGCCTTTGGCCCAGGGCACGATCCTGGAGACCCGGGATCGAATCCCACGTCGGGCTCCCGGTGTATGGAGCCTGCTTCTCCCTCTGCCTGTGTCTCTGCCTCTCTCTCTCTCTCTCACTGTGTGCCTATCATAAATAAATAAAACAAACAAACAAAAAAAAAATGTGTACCAATAGTAACACATTTGAGTGACCCAACTAAGGCACTGAGATTTTATCAAAAGAACAATTTTTTTTTTTGAAATGTTGAAGTCACAAGACTACCAACTTAACATAACCAAGTAATCTCTGTATAGCTGGTCTCTGGTGAGTGTGGCCTGAGCATTGATGCCTGTGTCCACAGTCATGCGTCCAGGAGGCTAGTTATATTCCTGGTAAACTTTTTGGCATTTTGGGGTCTCCTGAAGGCAAAATATCGTAGAATAGTAAGAAAACCATGGTAAGTGTTTTACATTCTGTATGTTTAGAACATCTTATCATGGAAAAATTTAAAAAGTACAGAGAATAGCATAAGAAATCCCTATTTTCCATCTTCAAGCTATCCGCATTTTATTAGCAAGGGTGCATGAGGGAGGCTTCTTTTTGCAGGAGAGCTCACATATTATTAGCAATCTTTTAAAAAATATTTTGACAGAGAGAAAAGAGAGAGAGCACATGTAGGCAGAGCGGCAATCAGAGAGGGAGAAGCAGGCCCTCCACTGAGCAGAGAGCCCAGTATGGTGCTCAATCCCAGGTCCCAGGGATCATGATCCGAGCCAAAGGCAGATGCTCGACCAACTGAGGCACCCAGGAGCCCCTATTATTAGCAATTTAATGTTTCCTAAACGCCACCAGAAATTGAGGGCCATGTATCTATTGTGTGCCTTCCTATATTGGTGGTTCCTCTCTGAAGCTAATGTAGCATTCCCAGCAGCACAGAGCATGCTGGAATTTGGGTGTACTGGGAAGCTATACAAGGGTGTATGTGGGTGGTGGTGGTGGGCAACTTTTTGTCCTAACACTTTCATATAGCTTCTTCTCTGGCTGCCTAATGGGAGGGTGTGTGTGTGTGAAGTAGGGAGACCAATTGTGCACTCCTTGTCTTCTCTCTGCAGAGCCCTGGGAGCTGTCATTGCCCTCCTGCTCTGGGGGCAGCTTTTCGCAGAGGACACTGGCAGTGAGGCCACTGGCAGTGAGGCCATGCAGTGAGGCCACTGGCAGTGAGGCCACAGATAATACAGGTCAGTCTTCGGGTTTGGGTGGGAGCCTCACATCCCAGCACTGCTGCGTCTCATTTGGACCCTATCAGATCTACATCCTCTCTTTGGGAAGAGCCAGTACCTCCTTCTTGTCATAATCTCTGGTATTTCAGGCCAGTGAAGAACACTGGGGAGCCAGGCAGGAAAAAGGGGAGATGGCCTTCCCTTTGGCTTCCATTTGAGGTGGAGGAGGGGTAGTGGTTCAGAGCAGCTTCTTCTCCACTGACTTTTCATGGGTCTCTGGGATCAGTTTTTGAATGTCAACCACCTCTTCCTGTGACTTTTTCTTTGCAGAGGTCAGCCTCCCAAAGCCCCCAGTGATTGAAAATGGCTATGTAGAGCACATGGTTCGCTACCAGTGTAAGACTTTCTACAAACTGCACACTGAAGGAGATGGTAAGCCCTGGCCAAGTGTCCCTGCACCCTCCCCCACCCCGGCCTTTCCATGATGAGTGTGGCCAGGGGTGATGGGCCATGAAGATTACATGTTCTTCTTGGAACCAGGAGTAGTAGATTCTAGTAAGGGTTTTGGCACCAGTAATTGTGGCCTTTTGGGTAAATTCACTTAGCCTAGACAAACAAAGGGTTGTGGAAGGGGAGGTGGGTTGGGGGATGGGGTAACTGGGTGATGGGCAATGAGGAGGACACTTGAGATGACACTGGGTGTTATACTATATGTTGGCAAACTGAATTTAAATAACAAAAAACTATAATGTTAGCACAGTCCTTGGAACACAGTAAATGTCTAATAAAATATATTAATCCAATGGAAAAAAACTTGCTTAGCCTCAGTTTTTGTCCTTTGTTAAGGGGGAGGTGATGCCAAGTGAGATCTACATTTCCAAAGGCAGATGTGGTAAAGGAACTGAGGGTGGTGCCAGTGATGATGACCGGTGGCTCCGATCTAGTACTATGTTCCCTGCACTGTTCTAAGTGCTTTACATTTATTTGCTCACTTTGTTCTCACAACGCCCCTCTGAGGAGATACTGTTGTTATTCTCATTTTGCCAATGAGGAAGGCGAGGCACGGAGAGGCTGAATGACATGTTCAAGTTCAGGGGGCTTGTAGAGGGAGAGCGAGAATCTGAACCCTGATTCTTACTCAGTACTGTGTCACCAAAGCCCCAGATCCATCCTGCTGGGCTTCACTGGCACCCCCAGCACTTGGCTTCTAGAGCAGAGCTCGTTCCTCCCTCCTCTTCTCTGCCCCTTCCTTCTGTCTCTCTTTAATTCTCTTTCAACACCTTCTTTCCTCATGCTAGGTCCAGATTCAATTTCTCTTTTGACTCATTTCTTTCCTTTTGTTTCAGGAGTGTACACCTTGAACAGTGAGAAGCATTGGACAAACAAGGCCGTTGGAGAGAAACTTCCTGAATGTGAAGCAGGTAGGAAGAAGCCAGGGGCCCTGGGGAGCCAACCAAAGGTGGGTGTTGAGAGTCTACTGCGTGTGCAGGCATCTTGATCGAAACATCCTGGAGGCACATCTTTACTGACTGAGCACCCAGATGGAGGGCCAGGGAGAACCATAAATGGTCAGCCAGGCTGTTGAGTGCACATCTAGGTGATGAGTCCCCAGTAAAGTTCACTAAGGGTCTTGCTCCTTTGGGCCTTCGGGGTATTGGCGGAATCCGCTGTCTATGAGCCCTCCAGGGCCAGGAGGCCCTATATGTACACATAAGCCGTCCAGGGAGCCCAGAGTCAAGTAAAGCACGCTCCAGGAAGAATGCGTTGTGGGAGGACAGCGCAAAACCCAATCCACAGAAGTGTGATGCAAGCTGGAGAGGGGCTAGAACTTCTGTTTCTTGTTATTAGGAAGAGACCTTCTTTCCCTTTCCCTCCTGGACAAGAGGATTTTGCCTGCCCTCTTGTGCCATTAGTGGTGCAGAACTATTCACCTGCTTTATATTAACTGCAACATCTGAAATCGGAGTTCCAGCCAATGCTGCAACAGATCACTCCTTATTCAGAGAGAATGAATTACTATAGTTTCTCATCCTTACAATGAATTTCCAGGAGCTGTGGACATGTCTATTTGTGATAACTTATTTAAACACACATACGGTTCTTTAGCCAGCATTTGAAAATATCAGCATTAGTTGTTTTTTTTTTTCATGAGTTAGAGAAGCAAGAAATAAAACTGTGTCTTAGTGATGTATGCAACTTTATAAAAAAGAACCATTTTAAACCGTGGAAATGACAGGAGCAGGTGATAAAGGCATGTCAATACTTCTAGCTGTTCAGAAATTACGACAGTTTAGACAGTAGCAACTGCTAACCCTGTCCCTCTCTTTCCCACACTGGAGACTCACATTTCTGCTCTTGACTTTCTTTTCTTGACAGTATGTGGAAAGCCCAAGAACCCAGTGGATCAGGTGCAGCGGATCATGGGTGGATCAGTGGATGCCAAAGGCAGCTTTCCCTGGCAGGCTAAGATGGTCTCCCACCATAATCTCACCTCAGGGGCCACACTGATCAATGAACAATGGCTGCTGACTACAGCTAAAAATCTCTTCCTGGGCCATAAGGATGATGCAAAAGCAAAGGACATTGCCCCTACTTTAAAACTCTATGTGGGGAAAAATCAGCTTGTGGAGGTTGAAAAGGTAGTCCTACACCCTAACCAGTCCAAGGTAGATATCGGGCTCATCAAACTCAAACAGAAGGTGCCCATTGATGAGAGAGTAATGCCCATCTGTCTACCTTCAAAAGATTATGCAGAAGTGGGGCGTATAGGCTACGTGTCTGGCTGGGGACGAAATTCCAACTTCAATTTTACTGAGCTACTGAAGTATGTCATGCTGCCTGTGGCTGATCAAGACAAGTGTGTACAGCACTACGAAGGCAGCACGGTGCCTGAAAAGAAGTCACCGAAGAGCCCTGTCGGGGTACAGCCCATTCTGAATGAGCACACCTTCTGTGCCGGCATGTCCAAGTTTCAGGAAGACACTTGTTACGGTGACGCTGGCAGTGCCTTTGCTGTTCACGACCAGGACGAAGACACCTGGTATGCGGCCGGGATCCTGAGCTTTGATAAGAGCTGTACTGTGGCCGAGTACGGGGTGTACGTGAAGGTGCCCTCCGTTCTGGCCTGGGTGCAGGAAACCATCGCTGGCAACTAATGCTGACAGGCTGGCAGCCTCTGCCTAAGAGCAAGAATTCACTCTGGGAGGAAAAACTGCATGGGAGTGGAGGGGGTAGAACACGGTGTGAAGCATGCTGAGTCGATCAATAAAGGGCTTTCTTGAGTCATTTCTGTGCTGTTTTTAGCCTCCGGCCGTGTTTACTGTCTCATGTGTGGTACAGCAACACCCTAGTGGGATAGCGGTGTATACTGGGAGTGTGGCAGAAAGCAGCCCACGCTAACTGGAAATCCCTGAGGGGACATGAAACCGTCCCATGCTGGGGTCGTACTCGGTGACCGAGTTCTACCAAATGGCAGGCCTCAGAAAGGTCACCGTTTCACTTGCTTCAGACAAGGAAACAGACTTGGAGAAGTTAAGTGATTTGCTTGAGGCCACAGCGCCATGAGGCAGCGTGACTGGGTTGACTGCGAGCCCGGGCCTGTCCGATCGTGACCCCCAGCTCTCTGTACGGCCTCCCCTTGCTCTCTGCAGTGAGTGAGGGGGCATGCGGACGGAGGGGGAAGATGCCAGCTCAGCACGGGACAAAAACAGGGGTTCTGACGTGGGCAGCACTCAGAAGACAGATGAGATAGGGTAAAGGCAGTATTCTGGACTTGCTGGGCCAGACTGTAGCATCTGCCAAGCGCCTTCAGTTCCCTGCCATTAGTGTCCAGTTTCCTTCCCGAGGGGCTTGAGCCGGATCATCTCCAACATCCCTACCAACATTCTGGATCCTGGTGAAGAGTTACAGGTCCCTTCCTCAATAGGGTGTGCTTTCCCCAGGTGGAAGAAACCTGTCCCTTACCGGGAGCCAAATGCAAACCATCTGAGTCTTCCCCTTCACAAAGACAGGGTCTTGCTCTTAAGGGTCTCCCAGAACAGTTTCAGAACCCTTGTCAACAGGAAGCTCTTCTTCTAACTTCTTCCACTCTTTCCGGCTATTCAAGCCTTTAGAACACTGACGTTTCATCAAGGTACCTTTTTGTCAGATGCAAAGATGGCCTCTCCAGCTCACTGGTACAAAATGCCCCGATGTCTGTGTTCTTGCACCCGGGTCTGCCCTGCACGGTGAGGCTGTCCTTGTACCCACTCTCCAGAGCCATCCATGCTTTTCAACAGGTCAGAGCTAGCGGGCCAATGGAGATCTTACACCTATGCTCTAACACCTGGGAAAGAGCGAATAGCCAGAAACTGACATATACTAGACACGTACATGGATGCCTCTCAGAATACAGTTAGGACCTTTTCTTCTGGTACAGTCTTTAGCACTCAATTTTCTTTTTTAAAAGATATTATTTACTTATTAATGAGAGACACAGAGAGAGTCAGAGACAGAGGCAGAGGGAGAAGCAGGCTCCATGCAAGAAACCCGATGCGGGACTTGATCCCGTGACTCCAGGATCATGCCCTGGGCCGAAGGCAAGCGCTAAACCACTGAGCCACCCAGGGATCTCCTCACTGTGCTTTTCTTGAAGAATTATCTGCTTGCATTAAGTGGCTTCTGGCCACTGTTCAGGAGGAAAGTACTAAGAGGAAGCCTTTGGCATTTCTTCCATTCACTCTTCTCTGGCTTCCTCCACAGCAGCACCTCCTGGCCTCCTGGTCTTCAGGGACATGGAACTGCACATAACTCTCAGGGCGGTTCTGCGGTCTCCCCTCTTGGTGCCCTCCCCTGACATGCACATAGAAACCTCCTACTGTCCTCCCAGGTGCAGGCACTGTGTCCTCTACGAAGCCCTTTCCCGCTTAGGAACCATCTGTGTTTATGGAGCACCTAGCCCAGGGCAGGGCATTCAGTACGCACTCAGTCGGCACTTGTGGAATGGAAAGCAACCGAGAGAGGAACAAAAACACAAATCAGGACTTCAGAGAAACACTCCCCAGAGACCTCAGGGGGAGTGGAGATAGGAGAATTTTATGCACACCAGTCCTGAGTTTTTGCTAGGATCTGCACACTTAGCCCATATCTGATGCTGTGTGATTTAGGATCTGACAGAAAGTCCAACACACAGTGACATGACAGGCCATGAAAGTGTTTTATTCTTTCACAGGGGTCTGGGGGGAAAACAGGTCTGGAGTTCACTCAGTAGCTCAATTATGTCATCAGGGATCCAGGTTCTTACTGTTGTTCTCACACAGACTTTTCATCCCAGTGCTGGTCCTCCTGGTCCTAGGATGGCTGTTGTAGTCCCATCAATCAGGATAACCAGAGCAGCAACAGGTGGTGGAGGAAGGGTTTGATTCTGCCCTCTTCCTGGAGTGGCTCTCTCCTTTCATCGGTGAAGAACACAAAGGCCCCCAGCAGCCTTCCTTCTGGTCACCTTTTCCTGCAGACCAGGCTTGCAAAGGAAGCCACCTGGTCAAGGGGGAATGCACTTGCAGTGACAGTGCTGGCCTTCATGGAACTGGGCTTCTGTTGGCTCTGAGGCCAGCAGCTGCCAAGCAGGTGGATGCTGCCTGGGGCCCACTGCCCTCCGGCTCTAAATCTATTCTCTTGTTCTAGAAGACCAGGATTCATAGGCTCTGTGGGGTTTTGAGAGAAGCAATGACTTGCCCGAGTGGTGGCAGGTTATGCCAGGGATGCTGGAAGAACAATTCTTCATAAAGTTATTAAAAGAGGCAAATACCATAGAGATAATATTTCTTTCTAACAACTCTGACATCTCTTTCCAGTATTGAGTCCTTGGAGTAAAATTCTCTGCCTCAGAGAGAGGCAGAACTCTGACTTCTGGGAGAAACCTGCTTCTACTTACGACAGGTAGTTAATTTTTTGTTTAGCTCAAATTGGGTGCTGGATGATAAAGGTTCCAGGTCTTATTTCTTGGGTAATTTAATAACATAAAAACTAGTAAAATGAGCAAAGCAGGATACAGTTATAAAAGTCTAAGCCAGAAAGCTTCCAAAATAAAACAAATTTGCCCACTCTCAGTAGAGAATCATTTTTCCAAAAGAACCTGAGCTACCAGGGACTGGAGATGGGAGAGTATGAGATAAATCTGAGTGGGTGAGGGTAAGGGTGTGCGCGTACATCTAGGGTATAAAATAAGTATTTCTGTTCTTATGGGAACTGATTTTCTATTTTACTTATGTATCAAATAAACACAGTTAAACTGTACTAGCCAATGGTTAGAGGGATTATGTTATTATCTTAAGGAATAAAGAGAAGAACGATATAAATCATGCTGGGAAAATTGACCACAGCTGTCTTGACTGCTCTGTCTGCAAGGAGTAGACACTTAAGCATCCCTGCTCATCACGGCATCAGCAAGGTCTTCTACTTGGGGGTGGAGTTTTTTCTATCCAAGTCGGACCTCTTCTCTGCTGGGACGCTGAACACACTTCGGAAGGACTCCAGGAAAACAGCAGAGCTAGATTCAGGTACTGCTTCAAGATGTGCCTTTTTCTTCAATTTTGAGTAGTCAATGTGCTAAATGTCTTGATAGAGAAGGTCATATTTGGGAATATTCTTGGGATCAATAGGACTTTGGACAATAAGTTTTCCCCTCATTGCTCCTCGATAGATTACTTCAATCAAATCTATGAAGTCCTGCTTGGTTTTGAAACTTCCCACAAACTTAGTGTGATCTGGAGACCTAGAGAGCACAGAAGAAAACAAGGCTGCTCAGAACTTTTGGTGATTACTCACTGCAGACCTCCGGGATAAACAAAATGAATTGCAGCTCTGTTACTTTCTTCTTGTTGGGGAGACTTAAGACATAAAGCCTGATGCTGATTTCTCTGTTTGCAATTACTGGGCCCATCTGATACAGGACTAACACTAGTGCTGTCGGCCACTGGGGTGGCACGTAAGCCCCATCATGTGAAGAGCCTCCACTTCACAATCTATTTTAATCACTTCTTAGCTCCTTATCCAGTAGAATTCCCCGGATGCTTGCGTGGGCATAGTCTGTGGCTGCTGCTGTTGGTTATACCATGTAAAGCCCATTAACTGGTTGTCCTCTTGGTAGTTCCCCTCACTTAAATTTTTGAGTGGTGGGTATGAAATATTTATTTTTAACTTTTTTTATTATTTCAAACTTTAAGTATGTTAATTGTAGAAATTTTTCAGAAAAAAAAAATTACCAGTGAGGTCAGAGACTGCATTTTGGTACATGTCCTTCCAATCTGTGTGTGTCTCTGTATGCAGATGCATTTCTTTTTTCAAAATCAGGGGAATTATATCATGCAAACCATTTTGTAATATGCTTTTCCAACTAACATACAACCTATTTCTTTCAAAGTCATTAAACTTGCATCTACAACATTATATGAAATTGATATCTAGTATTCCTCTGTGGACATCTATGTTCTTTCTATGTATTTGTTAAATAATGGTGGGATGAATATTCATACAGCCAATTTTGCCCACTTTCATGATTATTTTCCTTCAGAGAAATTCCTGGAAATGCAATTACAGGGTTAAAAATTTTAATTTTTTAAAAATGATTTTACTTATTTATTCGTGAAAGACACAGAGAGAGAGAGGCAGAGACACAGAGACCAGGCAGATGGAGAAGCAAGCTCCACGCAGGGAGCCTGATGCAGGACTCGATCCCGGGTCTCCAAGATAATGCCCTGGGCCAAAGATGGCGCTAAACTGCTGAGCCACCTGGGCTGCCCTAATTTTTTTTTTAAGACAGTACAAGAGTGGGGGAGGGACTGAGGGAAAGGGTCAACCAGACTTGGTGCTGAGCATGGAGCCTGACACAGGGCTCAATCCCACAACCCTGAGACCATGACCTGAGCCAAAATCAAAGGTCGGATGCCTCAATCAAAAGAGCCACCCTCCCCCCAAAAAAAGAGCCACCCAGGTGCCCCCCAAATTTTACTTATTTTTCAGGTGGTATAGTGTCATAAATCACCTTTTAAAAAGACTGCACCAAAATAATACCTATATCAACTATATCCTAGGAAAATAAATATCTTTAAAATACTTAAAACAGGTAATATTTAATTTTCAAAAAGATAGTAACAAAACATGTACACAGATCTAGACAATTGAACCTCACCCACAGTAAGAAACGGTAAGGGGATCCCTGGGTGGCTCAGCGGTTTAGCGTCTGCCTTTGGCCCAGGGCGCAGTCCTGGAGTCCCGGGATCGAGTCCCACGCTGGGCTCCCGGCATGGGCCTGCTTCTCCCTCCTCCTGTGTCTCTGTCTCTCTCTCTCTCTATGTCTATCATAAATAAATAAATCTTTTAAAAAAAAAAAAAAGAAACGGTAAGAACTATGGACACACTGAAAATACATGTTAAGTATTAGGATGCTGACTGGATGCAGTGGAGAGTGTTACAGATTTCACAGTGCTTATTCTTGACAGAATTGTCTGAAGAATGACTTTAAAACTTTCTGAGTGGCAGAAGACGGGATAGTTGGCCAGAAAGAAGCATGTCTTCGTTTCCTGGAACACTTCTTTTACAAATGCAGTCAAACAGTCCCAAAAGTACAATGACATATCCGATTTTAAATGAAATTCCTGGGAAACTTTTTAAAAAGCTGTTCTGTATTTTCTACACTGAAGGATGGTTAGTGCTCTGCAAACTGCACAGTTCTTTCATCCTTTAGTAGGAAGTTAACACTGGCCATTCCTACTAGAAATACTCTTTTTTGCACCAAAGTTTCACATAACAAATGAGTAGGTCAGTGGAGGAAACAGAACCAATATAAAGCTCACGAAGCCACCATCCCAGGCAGGGAGGAGAGTTACTGGAACTACTTGGGTAAAAGAAACTCCCACTGTTATAATAACTTCAAGTCAATCTAACTTACCCATAATCCACTTTCATATGCTGCCCATTGAAGAAAAACACAGTAGATGGAATATAACTGATGTCAAAATAGTGTGTGTAAACAGGAGTTTGGTCCACATCTACCAGATATATAGCAGCCATTTTACTCAGGTCAGGAGAAGTTTTAGAAAGCTGCAAATAGAGAGAGATACGTAGGTCACAATACAAGAGGCAGCTAAGGTTTCTTCTGTGAAACGTTTTGCTGGAATATTGTTTGAAAACAATTTCTGGGGTAAGAATCTCTCCTGACTTTCATGTTAGACACAGTATAACCTTACCATTCAGAGTCTGAGTCTCTGTTGGTAAATTTGTGAGAGGGCCCTGGGTAAACTGTGTAAATACATTTCTTCCTTTTCAAGAAAATTCTGGTTTGGGTTGTAAAAAGTTTTTATAAGTATTTTGTGGATTTATAAAATCCATTTTTTTTTTTTTAAAGATTTTATTTATTTATTCATGAGAGACACACATAGAGAGAGAGGCAGAGACACAGGTAGAGGTAGAAGCAGGCTCCATGCAGGGATCCTGATGTGGGACTCGATCCCAGGTCTCCAGGATCACACCCTGGGCTGAAGGCGGCGCTAAACCGCTGAGCCACCCAGGCTGCCCATAAAATCAAAGTTCACTTAAACAAAAACAACTCAGAAGTATGTACCGTACACTGAAATTCCCTCAAATCTCTTTCTTTCCAATCCCCCATAAATAATAATTATAATAAAAATAGTGAAGACTTGCATGGCAGTTATTATGTGCTAAGCGTCCTAAGTGCTTTGCACGTGTTAACTCATTTAATCGTTACAACATTCCTATGCGGTTATTATAGTCCCCATTTCTTAGATGAAGAAACTGAGGTAATCTGCCTCCAGTCACAGACCTAGTAAGCAGTACAGCTAGGACTTGAACTTGGTAGCCTGCCTTCAGTCTATACTCTCGGCTCTGTGATATTCCCTCCCCTCTACAGCTGAGGGCATAAACCTCTGGCCCTTTCCCCCTCAGGTTAACACAATGCATACTCATTTTTAATCACAGTAATTAAGATTATTATTTTCAAAATTGAAAAAAATTAAATAGTAATAAAGATTCTTATACTGGATACACATTGCGGGTGGTGGCAATAGAAATGGTGGGAAGAGGTCTTAGTTCTGGAGTAAGTCCCTAATAAACAGATGAGAATATACCCATTCTGTCTGAGGCCCCCCTCTCTACGCATTAGAGTAGGAAAATGTGTTAGAAGTCAGAGATTATCATCAGGCACACACTGGATGCAATACACTAGGAAAGCTTATCTGCAGGCAGAGAAAACGAAGTTCACACCCCAGCTCTGCAGGTTAGTTGTTCTGTCCTGTGGGTAGGCACCTGACCTCCCTGGCATTCATCCACCTACTGTGGGAACAGTAATTATCCCACTATTGTGAGCAGCGAGCAAGATAAGGTTCACAGATGCTTATTAATAGCGTTTCTGGTCCTCCACTGCCTTGTTGGTGAAACTGAACTTGGATGGCTGCTGGTGGGGAAGGACATCTCGGACAGACTTAGCACAGTTGCAGATTTGGGGGCTCAGCTCAGGGCAGGCACACGATTCACTCCTGGTGAAAGTGTGCCAACTAATGAAAAGCTGTATCCTTGGGCCCGGCCACTCCCTTCCATGCACTCTGTTGATGGTGAAGTAAGAATATATGGATTTTTAATAAAAAACATTCACTGAAAAAATTCACTTACTATATCATCTAGGTGCAGACAGACAGGATCCTCATCTCTCCCAAACCTGAGGACCAACACCTTCTCTGCCGTACTTTTTATTGCTTGGTCTACTTCTTTTTTGCTATTTAGCTTGGGCAACAGGAAGCTCATCTTGAAATAATCCAAATATTAATCCTCGCTGTCAGTCCTGAAATAGTCGCAATATTTAAAGACAGATTAAGCGCATGAGTTCTAATTTTAAGAAAATTTAATTTTTGCAATGGGTAATATACGTACATTCTATCCCCAGAGGAACAAGTGGTTTCATACACAGTATCAAAAAAGGAAAAGGAAAACACTAAATGTGCAAACTGGTGGCAAGTCCACCTGCTTAAAAAGAAACAAGATAGGTAGACGGTGAAAAATCGCCCTTCCCTGTCTGCCCTCAACTAGCCCCATTTGCACTGTATCTTCCAGTTTTGTTATGCATCTACAGGAAAGTACAAATATGCATTCCTACGTTTTTTCCCTCTTTTACTCCAAAAATAGCCTATTCTGCCAGTGTTCCAGCAGGAAAAAGGTGACATTCTCAAATTTGGTAATTTGAAGAGACCTTCATTAGGCAGGGTGCAGTGGTGTACTCCGCTAGCAAGAGCAGGGTACTGTTCCGACCCCTAAGCCTGAAAGAGCCATGGGAGAGAGTAGTCTGCAGGAGTGTGTGGTAGGGGCTGCTGGGTGCAGAAGGCTATTGTACGGTAGGTCAGCCTGCAGTGAAGGGGTGCAGCCCCTCCTCTCTCCCGCTCATCTCCTGCGAATGCCTCCACTGGCTGACTCAAACTGGAACCAGAGGGCAGGGGACATGCAGAGGCAGCCCAGTCTCCTGGTCCCAGAGTAGTCTAGAGGAGGAGGAAGAGGGGATCTGGAAAGGCAAATGATGGATGTCCAGCACACATACTTTACCCAGTCTTCTGCACTTTGTAGTTTTTTTACCTAACATGTAAAGATCTTCCCATATCCCTACTTACACTGTCACAGCAACACACTATTTCATGCATGTGTCAAAGTATTTATTTATTTATTTATTTATTTATTTATTTATTTATTTATTTTTGAATTTTTTTATTTAGTTATGATAGTCACAGAGAGAGAGAGAGAGAGGTAGAGACACAGGCAGAGGGAGAAGCAGGCTCCATGCACCGAAAGCCCGACGTGGGATTCGATCCCGGGTCTCCAGGATCACGCCCTGGGCCAAAGGCAGGCGCCAAACCGCTGCACCACCGAGGGATCCCCTCAAAGTTTTATTTAAAAACAAATCTTTTTAAAAAAATTTCATTTATTTATTTGAGAGTAAGAGAGCATGAGCAAGGGGAGGGGCAGAGGGAGAGGGAGGAGATTTCCCCTCTGAGCAGGGAACACAACACGGGGTTTGATCCCAGGACCCTGGGGTCATGACCTGAGCGGCAGGCAGACGCTTAATTGACTGAGCCACCCAGGCTCCCCATTATGCATGTACCATACTTTTTATTTTTTTTAAAGATTTATTTATTCATGATAGACAGAGAGAGAGAGAGAAGCAGAGACACAGGCAGAGGGAGAAGCAGGCTCCAGGCCGGGAGCCCGACGCGGGACTCGATCCCGGGACTCCAGGATCGCGCCCTGGGCCAAAGGCAGGCGCCAAACCGCTGAGCCACCCAGGGATCCCTTGTACCATACTTTTTAAACAGTCTTTTAGTGATGGAGTATTATCATGAGTCCTGGCTTAAAGATTGTTGGTGTATACCTTACGAGATGCACCTCACCACATGGCAAACAGATCAATTAAGGGTGTGACAGCCACACACACAAAATAAGTCATAAGATACTGAGATAGGAAGGACCTAATCCAATGCCCTCATAACTTTCTTTTTAAAATTTAATTGAATATTTATTCTTTGACTTTTAATCCTTTTTAAAGTTTATATTCAATTTGCTAACATATAGAATAACACCCAGTGCTCATCACACCACATGCCCTCCTTAATGCCCATCATCCAGTTACCCCATCCCCCCATCCACCTCCCCAACCCCTTCATTTTAGACTTGTTTGCTTGTATTACAGTTTTGGTTCTAGCTACAACAAGGACTAGAATCCAAGTCACCAGATTTCTAGTACAGTGTTCCTTCTGCTATAATAGTTTCCTATTTTTATGGCTGAGAAACTCTTTGATCAAGGACCTTTATTTTTGAGTCCGTCCACAAGAAACTCCATTGAGATCCTTGATATTTTACATTGGGTCCCAAAGTTGCCTAATGCTATGAAAAGGGAGGATTTCTTTATTTGTGTGTGTGTGTGTGTGTGTGTGATAAGTCACATTTCAAGATGTTAATGAATAACAATTCATACAGGGAATGAAATTGTTCCCATAGTGTCATACTTTAACTACGCAAGCTGACCACCAGAAGGGCCTTTATCAGATGTCTGTAGCAGAACAAATTACTGATGAAAGGGAAAGTCAAAGAAAGGATGGATCTATCCTACAAGAATTCAAACAGCACCTTCAGTACATTACTTACAGGAGGAGGTAGGGCGGGGGGCAAAGCTGTCTACCAGGGTGAGAGGACTGGATAAATGTTGGAATGAAGACAGGAAAACTGATGCCACCCCTAAGAAAATGCTCATAGCAAAGGATACCAACAGAGACTTCACAAAAGATGTACAAACGGACAAAGGTATTTGGAAAGTTACACTTTACTGGTAAACAAAGAACAGCAGCTTGGAAGATTACTTGACAAAGCCATTAAGCTGGTAAAGACGAAAACAGTAATGCAAGAGTGCGAATGGACACGCATTTCATAGTCCCCGCTGGAATGCAGAGAAGCAGAACTTTTCTAGGAAGGAAACACCCTGAGCAACGATACTTCTTCTGAGAACTAATTCGACACGTCCACAAAAGATTTACGTAGAAAACATCACTATTCTTGATGGTAAAACAAAACAAAACAAAACAAAACTGAAAATAACCCGCATGGCCCAAAGTAGGGGGACTGGAAAAATATAAACAAACAAACTGGAAAAATAAAGGCTAGTACAGTCCTGCCAGCCACCGTCATTACACAGCCACAGAATATCGTGCTACGAATGAACTTCTCAGATCCCGAAACGTTCTCACCGTGAAGAAGTCATAAAACAGACTACAGAGCGTGACCCCGTTGTGGTGCAACACAATACTGCGCACGCATTCTACGTGTGCGTGGAAAACTAACTGGGGGTCCATATCCCCCAACACCATCAGCGGTCATCTCTGCGACCGAACAGACGGCAGGGGATTCTTAGTTACATCGGAGTGAGCATCTTTCTTCCTCCAAAATCTTCGAGAAACACAGACCTATACATACATCAGCAATGCCTCTGGGTGGGCTGCTCCTGGCCGCCAACCGCTAGGGCGGACGATACTCACCTCATTTGTCCAGGTCACCTCTCGCTCTTCCGCTTCAGCCGCGTCCGCCACCTTGGCCTCCAGTCCAAAAAAGTCAGGACGTGGGCGGCCCCTCCCACGTCAACGCAGCCGCCTTAACGTACCGCAACCCAGGCGCTCCGGCCCAGCGGCTCCCAGAGCCCCGCTTAAGAAGGCGGAAGCGGAAGAAGGAAACGCACAGGCGCAGTAGATGAACTCGCGGTCCTCAACAGTCCAACAGGGGGTTATCCGAGTCATTGCCCACTTTGCCGGGCTTTGACCGGAAGCTGTGGAGTCACTTCCGCCCTCATTAAACATGACCGACCTTCTGCCCTCACCTTCCGTCTTGTGTAGCCTTTCAGGCTGTGATTGGTCGTGACGAGACTCGGAAGTGTCTCCGAATCAGAGTCCCAGAGGAGGACACTCTAGCCTTGAGCGCTTGGTCGCTTTCTGTCCCACACTTGGAGCGGGGAACCGGCGTTTTCCGGTCTTCCGTCGATGGTATCTTCGGATGGATAGAGGGGACCGCGCAATGTATTATGGGACAGTGATGGCCGCGTTCGCGGTTTGGGTTTGGGTCTGTGAGGCTGTCTGAGTGAGGGGTGGTGGTGCCGGCGCCCCAGAATCTGGGACGGAAGGTTCTGAGAGGCGGGCTTGGTGAGGTGAGTGCCCCTTCTTCCTTCCTGGCCTGCCCTTCGCCAATCATGGCAGCTCCAAGCGGCGGATATGGGTCCTTCCTTCGGGTTCCAGCCCGGGTTTGCGAAGTCCCGTCCCTGTCACCCAGCTTGCCTTTCTCACCGTAGGGATGCTGCGCCGGTGCGGCTGGCCCCATCCTTCCCCCTCGATCCGGTCAGATCCCGCTTCCTGGCCGGAGGTGCAGGGATGCTGCCCGGGGGCTCCCCCGCACGCTGCTCAGGCCCCTGCATTAGCCCCCTCCCCGGCCGACGCCGCCACACGCCGGGCGGCTGTGTCTTCCCGCCTCTGTCACAGTGTCTTCACTAGGCGATCTCCTCTACCACAGTGTCGACCCCAAGACGCGAGGAGTTCGGTCTGTTTTGTTCTCTGTTCTTTTCCTCTTGCCCAGAAGAGCGACTGGCTCACAGAAGGCAGTCAGGGAAAAATTGTTGAATGAGTAAATCTAGTTTTTCTGAATTGTTTTTTTTTTTTTTTTGTATTCTCTGTGGCTTCTTTGTCATTAATCATTCCCCAGAACCCAGCCCCTTAACTCCTGCTTGTTCTCAGCAGCTAATCAGGTCTCCTCAGATGCCTTGTCCTGGGCTGTTGATACGTTCCTTTGCTGTCTCTAGAAACGTGGGGCTTCCTGTTCTCCACGAATCAGTTTAAATTCATTCACCCATTTATTCATCAAATGTTTAATTTTGCCAGGCACTGGGTACAGCAACAGCAAGACAGACAAGGTTCTCTTTTTCACAGTATAGGACTTATTTTCGAGTTCAGACTACTAGTGAGCAGAATATACACGTGTTTACCTTCCTACTTAGATTTCCTCAGCTGCACACAGACGTCATCAATAGGCAGCTCTCTCCCTCCTCTTCTACCTGATGGCATTTTCCAAGATGCAGCCCTCGTGTCTTTGTTCGTATCATGCGTCCAGTCTGTTTGGCGATATTTCCCTGTTAGAGCGGCGCCTGTTAATTAGAGCTGGGCAAAAACATTCTGGATTCTGGTGGTACCGTACACCTTAACAGTTCCTTTGCCTCACTGACTTGCTGAAAGGAGAATTATCCAGGCATGTGTGTTTATAAGTTGTTGGTGTGTAATGGGAGGTAAAGAGGAGTTTGTTACAAGTTGTGTGGGAAAATCTTACAATCGCCTTAATACTTTTCAGGAACACCATTTCATTATCTAGTGTTTCTCATCAATATTTTTGGTGAACGTGGATTGTCTTTAAACAGATTTCAACTGCTGTGAGGTAATTCTTTTCTCCAAAACACAACTGGTCCCCAAAAAGTCTTTCATGTATGGATCACATGGTTGGTAGCCTTATACCCCAATGTGACTACTCTGCTGTATCTGTAGTTTAAAGGGAGAGAGAGGCAAAAGAACTCTGGTAGAAAAATGTTGAGCCCCAGCAGTTTATAGGAGCACAGCAAATAAAATAATGTAACACTTACCTTTATGTAACACTTTATGGTTACAGAGAGCTTTCACACACTTTTGTATTTGATTCTTAGGATACTTCCATGGAATAGATAAAGGAAAAAGTATTTCTTTTTTTTCAAATATAGAAATTATGCCTAACCAAATACCAACTTATCTGCTTACAATCACAGAAGTAGAAAATGTCAAAAGCTTGCTCTCTGAGGATTCTGACTTAAAATCTAGTGGTGTTTCCCCCTAGAGTCCTATTCTATATGCTATCATGTTCTCATAAGTGCCCTTTAGTGAGGTCTGTTTTTGCCTGGATGATACCCTCTTGGATCCTGATATTTTGTGGATGAGAGAGAGAGAGTCTGTGTGTGTGTGTGTGTGTGTGTGTGTGTGTATTTCTGATGTGTGTAGGAGTGGGGATCAGGATCTTTTGAGATTGTCATTGACTTAATGGAAAGGTCTTGGCAAGAGGTAGCTAAACAAAGCCTGGTCTTGATGGAGAGGTCACCCCCCTGAATATACTTATAACTGTAGTTATCTTGGGATACAGTGGAGTCAAACCTTTTCTCCTTTTACATCCAGTACAAAATGGGTTGACTTCCTTCCACAGATATCCCAGAGCCTGTCATGGAGGACACCAGCGAGGATGCCTCGATCCATCGATTAGAAGGCACTGATCTGGACTCTCAGGTTGGCGGTCTTATTTGCAAGACCAAAAGTGCAGCCAGTGAGCAGCATGTCTTCAAGGCTCCTGCCCCCCGCCCTTCATTGCTGGGACTGGACTTGTTAGCTTCCCTGAAACGAAGGGAGCGAGAGGAGAAGGATGAAGGGGAGGACAAGAAGAAGTCCAGAATTTCTTCCTACAAGGACTGGGAAGAGAGCAAGGATGACCAGAGAGATGCTGAGGAGGAGGGTAGTGACCAAGCTGGCCGACATAGCCGAAAAGACAGGTGAAGGCTTTTAGATGGGTTGACCCAAAGGGAATGAGAGTGGAGGCCAGAAAATAACATCTCATATTTATTTCTTTTTTCTTGTTGGACATGTAGATCTTTATGATATTATTATGATTCCATCATATTGAAGGTAGATAGGAATTGGTGTTTTCTTCAGGTTTGTCGGGGAACATTCAAAGGTGACTAAATAATAGAGAATGGGGGTTAGAAATGCTTTGGGTTGTTGCCATAAGTAAGCCTGCAGGGAGATAAAGTGGAAAAGGACAGGTCAGCCCACTGGAGGCCTGGGGGCAAGGTATTTCTCCTAAGGAAGGGTCTTTTACCAGCTGCCCTCCCTGTTTCAGACATTATCGATCTGCTCGGGTAGAAACTCCATCCCATCCTGGTGGTGTGAGTGAAGAGTTTTGGGAACGCAGTCGGCAGAGAGAGCGGGAGCGGCGGGAACATGGTGTCTATGCCTCGTCCAAAGAAGAAAAGGATCGGAAGAAAGAGAGATCACGGGATCGAGACTCTGACCGCAAGAGAGAGAGAGGTAACTGAGCAGAATAGTTTCTATAGCCCGTTAAGCATTTGAATTAACATGTCAGCCTCTTTTCCTGTTGCAGGAGTTTTTCCAATGCCCAATTATTAGGGAGCCCTATTGGTTTTGATTGTGTCAGGATTGGGAAAGCAGGCAGTTTAAGAGCTATTACTTGCAAAATAGCTGCTTTGCTTGAGTGCGTGATCCTTGTTTTATTATGAAAATTGGTGGTAAAGAGGATATTGCGTAATATGTATAAAAAAACCAAAATTTACAGCAGTGTTGGTGATAGAGAAAGGACAGTGCTGTGGAGCAAAGCTAGACATAAAATCCAGTGCTGGCTTTGCTCAGTATTGTTTTAAGTTTTATAGTTTATAGGCTTGTAACTACTAAAAAGCTATTCACTGTAGACTTATAACTATTGTTTTTTGAATTCTTGCAGGAAAATAACTGTTACTGTGAGTTTGAAACTTTCTAGCCAGTAACTATTTTTTCCCATTGAAAGAATGGGGATATGTGAGTTTCAGGAGCCCATGGATCGCATTAGAGCAGTGCAGGTTGCACCTGTGAGTGAGTGGGAAGGCCTGTCCTTTCTCTAGGGTGAAGATGGGTGGAAGTTAGGTGGGGACACATATATCCTAAGCTCTGTGTGTGGCTCTTGACAGATGAGAGGGACAGAAGCAGACACAGCAGCAGATCAGAGCGGGATGGAGGGTCAGAGCGCAGCAGAAGAAATGAACCGGAGAGCCCGAGACACCGACCTAAAGGTAGACTGAGCCATTGCTTGTGATTTGTGAGGGGTCGAGTATGTAAAAGGCAGGGTGAGCGACTCCCGTCCATAGTTGATTTGCTGTGAATAGAGTCAGAATTGTTGATTCCACTATGAATTTCTGGAATACTTGGTTCTCAATCAGGTAGGAAGGCCCTGGACCCTTTGAGATGGATATGTTCCTCTAAACTGTTGGGCAGGTTGTTTGGCCAGTTTTCCAAATGGCAGGAAAGAATAAGGAGCTGGGGAAGAGGATTTGTTAAAATTAATTACTTATATTCAAGAGGACTATGTTTGCTGAGAGAAATTGCCTATTTCTTAAAATGGTATAAACACACATTAAAACAAAAAAGAAAAATGTTATGAACACATGGAAACTGGACCATTAAAATCCAGGTATCTTTAAAAATTGTCCAAACCATCTTACTTGTTACAAATAGATACAAAGTTTATAAGTGGTGAAAGAAAGAAATTTGGGGAATTGACTTTTGGCTGATAGCTCCACAGCCCTGTCCTGGTTAAGTTAGATGTTTCCTTGTGGATGTGTTTTCTGGCCCCAGATGCAGCTACCCCTTCAAGGTCTACGTGGGAGGAAGAGGACAGTGGCTATGGCTTCTCAAGACGCTCGCAGTGGGAATCGCCCTCACCAACTCCTTCTTATCGGGATTCTGACCGGAGCCATCGACAGTCCAGTCGAGATCGGGATAGGTGATGTTCTGGGCAGAGCACCTCAGTTTCTCTGGGTGATGACAAAGGGTGGATGTGTAGAGGGCAAAGGGATCTGGGCTGGGAGAGCAGATGGCAGCTGGGGAACATGTCTCCACTTTAGTGACTGCTTAAGTGATGCTGGTTAAACTGTTTCCCAGGTCTGTGAGGAGCAGGTACTCAGATGATACACCTCTGCCAACACCATCCTACA